TAGAAATCGTTAACCTTAGCCATAACTTGGTGCTAGGGCTTTCATATGTCAAAGGTATATTCCTTAAGAAAAAGACCTTACTTTGGGTACCTTGCATTTGAGAAAGTTTAACCTTTGCTATAGGTTGCCATACGGGGACATCAGTGTTTCACAAACTTATCTTGTCAGGATTGTTTTGGTACAGAACACGCATAACAATTTATTTTTTCCTTTTTTTCTAGCAAAAGTACGTCACGGAGAAAGGACGTAAACAAACTTAACTTAAATTGGCTTATTATTTTTTAGTTAAATGTGTATTTTTCTTTTTATCCGATTAAGAATAGTTTATTACAAAATGTTACACACTTTATCTCATCATATATATTAGAAACTAAAATCGTAAGCAAAACCTTTAAAATCACGATTTATTCCATTCTTTAAATGAAAAATAATGCATTGCAAGAGAAAGCTAGATAGATGCTCAAAGTGTGATTATCCGTAAAGTGATATCTTATTTTAATCCCATACTATACCGGTATCATCCTTTCATAATACGAGCCAAAACGTGATAATATGGTTTTGTAGTGTTGCATGTATAATTTTTTTGACAAAACAAAGGCATTTAGTGTTATTACAGGTGTCTTAGTAATCACGTGTTTTTTTTTATTTTACATGTAGCTGACAAATGGCATGGCAATTATTCGTATATCAGACATTAAATAATTTCATGGATATAATATATTTGAATCCAATTAAGTCAAAGATACATATTTATTGATTGATTTTGTTGAAGTAAAGCAGCCTTAAATGTTGGCAATATATACACCCCTTTCTTTCTCTCCACCATGTTATATGTATTAATTTCTGTAAATCCAAGAATATTTAAATGATGAAGGAAATATTATGTTTGTGATATTTATTCTCCTTCCTAGAACAAAATTTAATTGCAATTTATAAACATTAATTTTTAGGGATTTCATACTACACCTAGGATCGGTATAAAAATGTTAAGTCTGTAAACAAATCATTAGTTGTAAATCAAACAATTTGTGGTTCACCAAAATCAAAAGTCCAGCACCTATGCCAGCACCTACTGAAACACGAGACCTCGTTTTATATGGTTTTATCCAATTACGGGAAAAGGACAACTTGGAATCTTGACATTAAAATGCCCTACTGACACATAGAGCGGTGATCTGTGGGCTTTTGAGAGCCCTTGATTTCATCTTAGACATATAATGAGATATTTATTACTCCACTTGTGACATATAAAAGTCAGAAACTTTAAATAATTACTTTCCTGTAGGAAGCAATATGTCTTGCTAGTTTTCTATACTCTTACATTCCTTGCTTCGTATACCATTCGACACCCATTTCAACAACGGAAGTACGAGGAATGTTCCAAAAATAATGTCATTTCATTTTCTTCGCATGAAAATCGTGTTAATATCGTAATGAAACCACATCGATACGTTAGATTCATCGCTTAACCGTAGCGTAAGAAAATTTCATGTTCACAATTTCACTGACTTAGCTACAGTGTACTTTGCTTTATTGTGTATTCATTACACTATATTCAAAATGACTGGAAAAAGAGCAAATAATGGGTTGAAATTAGGGCCTGTAAAAAAGGTAGGTCCTAACTTGGCATAAACCCGTAGACATTCATCGTGAGGTCTGTGATATCTATGGGAATGGTCAAATGTCTGTTTTGTAGGTGGGTTGCTTTTAAAACAGGTTACGAACACCTTAAAGATGCTGCTCGCCAAGGTCGCCCTGCAACAGTTACAACCAATAATAACATGGTAAAAATCAAACATATCTTACGGAGAGACGCAAGATATACAAGGTAAATGGCTCGGATGACAAATTTGTCGTTAGCATGTGTTCATGGTATTTTGAAAAAAAAAATCTAAAGCTTAGAAAGATGAAGGCTAGGTTGATACCTCATTTGCTTAGCGATGAACAAAAGATATTCCGAGTTGAAAATGCAAAGAAATTATTAAAATTGTATCCAAAATATGCCAAAAAGAGTTGATATTTTAGTTACTGGCAATGAGACATAGGTACAATATTTTGAGCCAAAAAGTAAGAGTTCTAACAGAATTTGGGCATCAAAGAATGCAAAACGACCTAGTATTGCTAAAAGATTACGAACCGTACAGGTTTTATATTTTTTTTCTTTGACAATAAAGGCCCTATCATGCAAATTCCTGTGCCAAAGGGCAAAATAGCCACAGGTAACTTCTAGAAAAAATGTTGTTATTAAAAAACGGAAGAAATATTACGAAAGTCGTCGCCCCAAAACGGGTACGAAGTATCTCCGACTTTTGCACGACAATGCGCCTGCACACAAAGCACGCATTGTGACCGAGTATTTGGAGGCGGAAAAGGTTACTGTCCTACCACACCCCCGTTTTCTCCAGATTTAACGCCGTGCGACTTCTTTCTGTTCCCCAAATTAAATTCCACCTATCTGAAAAAAGATACGAATCACGAAATGCCCTTGGGTATGCAATGTATCAGTTAATGATGGGTGACCCTATTGAGGAGTATGAAAAATGTTTCCAGAAGTGGATTGATCGTCTAAAAAGTGTATCCAGGCCAAGGGTGAGTACTTTGAAGGGCAGGGATAAATAAATGGATCAAAAGTATGGATGAAAACAGCAAAGTGCCCTTATTTTTGGAACATCCTTCGTAAGCCCAGCACAACTAATCATTGGACATATTCGAACAGCATACACAATAAGTTAACTTCAGGGCATATGATAGGGAACGGATCGGTCTAATTCTCACAGACCGTGGAGGTCCAAGAGTATTTTCTTTTTAACTTCTTGGATCTCGTTTGAACTTGAGATAGCTACTCTCTTTGTAAACCAGCGGACCACTTACATACAAGAAAAGCAACAGTAGAAACGTTTCTTTTAGAATGACTTTTTCTAAAATCAACCAAACTGTAACTATTTCACAAAATTAAATTTAAAATTTAAAGGAGATGAAAAGCGAAAGCCAATACTCATCTTACCTCTCCTATTCGGCTTTTGAGTCTTTGTACTTAAAATCGTGCACAATTTGTCATATCACTTTCTCAAGCTCTGATAGACTTGAACCTCAACAGAGAGAACCATGGCGTTGTTTTAGTTAGAGAAACCTGTCACGTAAAAGCTTATGCGAAAACATCCTAGCCGTAGGTACTTACTGTCTTCTTTCTGATTGTGGAATTGCAACTTACAGCGCAAGGGGGAGTTCCATTCTAAGTTGTTGGTTTATGTAAATTACAAGAAGCTTATTAGTACCGTAGGCACACCTACTAGTGTAACTGTGATAAATATTCATGACAGGTGGACTTGCTTGACCCATTCAGAGGTTACAGGATAGAACCTCAGTAGCGGCTGGTAGAAGAATGTATTTACTAATATCTACTACAATGACAACCTTTGTTTACCTTATATGACAATAGTTATTATTGTGCATAGTGGATTTCTTACCACGAACAATTGTATAATAGTGAATGTATAGCAAAGAATGTTGGCCTTAATTCTAAATGCTTACAATTTACTTCCAAAAACTTGGTTAAGGTCAATCTACGATGCAATATTAAATGGACTGCGGGTTTTTTTTTTTGGAAATATTTATTGTCTTTATTAAAAAGATACAAAAATTAGAAACTAAGATGTCCCGGTCATACACTCAATAAGGAAGGGCGTGGACTTCACCTCACTTCATTAAATGATATTGGTGTCTTTGTAATTTTTTGTTAATTTGTTGACAAGAAATTCAAAGTTATAGAATGTGCACAATACGAGTTAATCTGTCCCACATTCAGAGAATGTTTTGCTAAAGAGCATCAGTACCTTAAGGATAAGCGAGCTCGGAGAACGTGCAGCATCTCGTATGCATTTTGATGGACAAGTTTTTTTTTTTTTTTTTTTTTTTTTTTTTTTTTACATTACAATACGCATGAACACGTGTGTTGGTTTTTTTTTTGCCTTTTGCCAGGGAATCCACCTGACATTTGTATTTACCGATAGTACAGCATAAGACTACATATGCTAATCGCCTTACATAATGACTTTGGGAAACCTAGAATTCTACGTTTTTTAACAATTCAGCCTGGAAATAATAGCTAATAACGGACACACAATGTTTTTCATCTCTAAAATGCATGAAAAAAAATCATCATTGTGTTTTTTCCAATTGCGAGTTGATTTGGTCATTTCCAAACGAACAATTCCGTAGTAATAGAAGTACTCCTTATGTTATTGAACTCATTCTGCTGAATTGTCGGTTTTACCAGTAATTCACGTTGGTACCCCGTTTAGCATGTAAATTTAGTCTGACGCCAGAAAATATTATAGTTCTTTTGCAAACATATTAAAAAAGAAATTTTTATACATGATTGCAGAAAATGTGTCACAAAGAATACTTATTGGAGAAGTTTGAATGAATTTTAGAGAGATTAATGTACGGTTCAACTGATCTTATACAGTGGTGAAAACTGAAACGTAACTGTTTACCATCTCCGCGCGCTATTCACTTTCTAGCTACACTTCCGTGAATAATTTAAATTATCCATAAACAGTCTCGCTGTAGTCTCACTAAATCTCGGCAAAGCTACTGCGAGTACTATAATTTGCAGAAAATAAAAGCCTCCGAATAAGTTCGTAGAGGTGAGGGTTGTAATTTCTTTCCCTGTAGAGGATCAGTTTCATATGAGGCTCCAAGATGCAGAGAGAATTATTTGTGAAACTAAAGATATTGATGTTTACTTGCAAGACTTTAGGTAATCATTTACTTGTGATGCTTTAAGAATCATTAGTATTTGTTCGGCTTTAAGAGCCAATTATCAAAATTTACAACTGTAGACATTCAAATACCTGACAGGTGTTCCTTACTGGTAATTTAATGGAAACTTATTATTACAGGAATCGGGTTTTTGTGAGGCTTTAGGGATTAGCAATCTGTTGTTGATGATGCTATAGAACATTTAGTACCTGAAGGATTATAGCGTGTTCAGTTACCTGCGAAGCTGTAGAAATGGACATCAGGGATGGTGGTTTGTAGTCTCCAACGGCATCATATCCGGAAAATGAGGAAATATGTTGCCTGTGCTTCTTGTTCCGGTACACTCTACATAGCACAAAACAGACCACGCCTGCTACAACGCCTGCAAGACCCAAGGTGACTCCTAGAACGACAGCATTCGTCATCGTCTACCTCCTGCAACAGAATTACAGAACGCTTGTTAACTCTGCTGACAGATAATTTACTGTAGTCTATTGGTACATAATATATTTAAATATGACTTGCTTTTTATTCCATCCTGATTTCATAGATGTTTAAAGCGGCGAGGATCTTGAAACATTATACTATATTAAGATACTTCTCGGAAATATGAGAAATCCAGTTTTTCAATAATGAGGGGTATTTCTTAGAGTCACTGTTTCCAACGTCTGAAGTGCCTTTTCTTTTATCATTTTACAAAGAAATTGCTTCCCAGTTGGATATAAAGATCCTGTTATCATTGAATTAGATTGCACGAATTCACCATACACTGCATTTATTCCTTTGTAGCAATAAATTAGATTCAATTTATACAGCATACAGGAAATATTGGAAAAATTAGGCTTGTTCTCTTAATCAAAGGAAAAGTTTACAAAAGATTTTTGTGTTAAAAGGTTGTTTTTTCTAAAATAAATCACATTGTTCATAGCTTAGCAATTGCAAAATTGTTCAACAAGGACTGTAATGATACCTGTTTGATAAAATCTACGTTCATTCTATTATGGAATCACAAAGCTTTTATAATATTATAATATTCTGTATCAAAGTTAACATCTACTACATGTTTTATAAAGCTATAATTAACAATGTCATATCCTGTTTATTCTTTGGGAACCACGAACTCCCTGTTTATTGAGTTCTAGACTTGGCTATAAATAGACTGTAAAATGGCGCCAAGGCTTCCTATTCCTTCACCTAATTGATGTGATCACAACCTCCAGAATTAAGGATAGAACATAAATTGATCACAGTTTCTATGTACCAACATTCGTTTGATTTAATTAATGTGTGTTAGCCTTTTACTCGATAAACCCATGACTTTGTTATTGTTTTTGAACAATTAAGCTCATGTTTTGAACCAACATTGGCATCGATAACGAACGAAAATCTTCAGATACAACCAGAAATTCATCTTGTCAGATGTCGTTCTTGAAATACAATGGCTATTTCATACACTATTTTATACGCTATCGACAGAGCAATAACATGTCAATGAAACATTATGTTTTTTATAACATAAAAAGTCAAGCTTTATGGAGAGGAAAGTTCAAACAAAATAGTGACTTATGTCAAGGGTTTGTGTGAAGTTCCGAAATCACAAAACCTTGACATTTTGAGGAAGGAGGCATATATTTGTTGCTCTGTCTGTCCGTCTGTCTGTTTTTCTGTATCTGTTTTTTTTCCGCAAGAACTTTAACCTTGCCCGTAACTTTTGGTTAGAACTATGGCTTTCATATTTCACAGGTACATGTATATTCCTTGTAACAATACCCTTCCTTCGGTACCAACAGTTTTGACCTCTTGACCTTAAAGTTTGACTCACTTTAGCAAAACTTTACCAATCTTTAACCTTTGTCATGACTTTTGAACGGTTTATGCTAGGGCTTATATACTTCACATGTGTATTTCTTGTGGTAAGACCTTCCCTTGGGTACTAACAATTGTGACCCTTTGACCTTGACCTATGAGTTTGGCCTACTTTTGGAAAACTTTGAACTTGGACATAAATTTTGAACGGTTAAAGCTAGGGCTTTCATATTTTACTTTTATATTCCTTTTGACAAGACCTTCCCTTGGATTCCAACAACCTTGGCTATAACTTTTGAACGGTTGATGCTAGGGCTTTTATATTTCACATGTGTATTCCTTGTGACAATGCCTTCCCTTGGGTTCCAACAATTTTGACTCTTTGAAATTGACCAATGAGTTTGACCTACTTTTGAAACTTTAACCTTGGCCACAACTTTTGAATATTTGGTCCTAGGGCTTTCATATTTTATATGTGTATTCCTTGTGACAAGACCATCCCTTGGGTTCCAAAATATTTGATCCCTTGACCTATGAGTTTGTCCTACTTTTGAAAACTTTAACCTTGGACATAACTTTTGAACAGTTGGTCCTAGGGCTTTCATACTTCACATGCTGGAGTTTGACCTACTTTTGAAAAACTTATACCTTGGCCATAACTATTGAAAGGTTAGTGCTAGGGCATTCATATCTCACAGGTGAATTCCTTGTTACAAGACCTTTCTTTGTGTACTTACAACTTTGAATTCTTGACCTTAGTGTTTGACTTGCACCTGAGAACCTTTGATTTTCACCATAAGCTGCCATACGCGGGCATCAGTGTTTAACAAACACATCTTGTTTGAAGAAAGATATAGTAGAAATAATATAGTAGAGATAAAATTATAAAAAAAAACAAAATCCAGAAAAAAAATTTTGTTGGCGAAGGTTTTCATAGCATTTATTGAAACTGTACGACGAGTAATTATGTTAAGGTTAGAGATTTAAGCAAGCTTTAGCAACCCTTAAGTTTTGAAAGACTGATACAATTTTGCAATTTTGATCTAGAAAGAATCTTTGTGCATATTTCAAGGAGAAAGTTTATTTATCCTCATGGAAACCTCATTCTGTCATTCACCCTGGAAAGATGGTAGGAACAAAATAAATTTGGAAAATTTGAAAATGTGAAATGTTGAAAGACATATACGTCTATTCAGACGGACGGACACGAGAGAGAGAGAGAGAGAGAGAGAGAGAGAGAGAGAGAGAGAGATTTTATGTATTTTGAGCAATTGTACATACATTGTATATGTATTTTAATTCCATGAAGCATATTTTAACAGAAACATTTGATTTCAAACGTATATTCCTACCATAAATGCTCATTTTAGTAGCGATCATAAACAAATTGTCAAGTATTAGATATAATCTGTAAAAATGATAGAAAAAAATCAATAAATCTCTGCATGTATGACCAAGTAATTTTTTGAAGGAATATTTCTGTACTGTAAGAACGTTTTAATCCGTACATTGATTTCTCAACATTTCAGATTTAATATAAACAATGCTTTGAATTAGATATTATTAACACATGTCTCATTAATCCCTGTCTTTTTACACGATTAACAGCGTCATCATATAGCAATTTTCGAATCTACTTAGCTTGAATGTTTTAGACAAAAACCTATAAAAAAAAAAAACAAAAAAACAAAACTCGAAACTGTCATATTGTGAATATTAACATCTTGTAAATCCAAACTTCAGAAGGCAACAGAACATGGATTTCTGACATCTATCAATGTTGACATAATATGCTTCACGGAAACTTAGGGGACGACTATTTAATTTTGAATGGGGGTGGGGTGGCAGATTTTGGAAACAAATAATCTGTCCCCGAAAATGTTGAAAATAAATAATCTGTCCTTGATATATTATTTATTTATTTATTTTTTTGTAAAACTTTTGTAAAACAGTGAAGAAGAAAATAAATAATCTGTCCTTGATCATCTTGAAAATAAATAATCTGTCCTTTACTGGTATGAAAATAAATAATCTGACTGGAAAATTTTGCCCTCCCCCCTTCAGAATCAAATTAAATGGACGTCCCCTTATCATGTACATGATTGTACATGTGCATGCCGTAACAACCCGTTTCAACTCTTGTTTTTTTTCTCACAATGTAATAATATTTAGAACCTTGAAACTTGCTAATTTGAGCCTCAATTCGATTGAAAATACTTGCTATTAAAATGAATTCTGTTTGAATTACAAAACAGATCTGCAATTTTTTAAAAAAAATATCTAATCTTCAGACCAAAAATATGCCTCTATATCCCACTCGACCTTTATTTACAGAAGAGTTCTACAATATCAATGGCTTCTGTTCATGATTGACAAGAATTAGGTTAGATCCTGAAACATCAACTATATCCTATAAAGTTCCAATAAGAGATGTTTCTCTGCACACACAAGGCTTTGTGTATTGAGTGAGACATTCTAATTGTAAATCAATCAAGAAGGGAGTGGTCTCCCCTGATCCCTGTAGATTTTTTTTTATAACGAGTAAGTAACGATGATAATTTTATAGCTCCCACTACTGCACTTCTACCCGATAAGACCCTGTAATTATCAGTAATGTAGTTATTATTTAATTAACAAATGATGGACTTAAGATTTGTAATGAATTTTTAAAATAACCATAACTCACCTTCTGGAAATAGCTATTAAAGTTTAACGTTCTCAATATAAATGCTATTTTGGTTAATCTTTATTAGAGTCGGTCTCTGAAATTCATTGGTGAATACTATCAGAAAATTTATGACTGAAATAAAAGTATAAGGTCTCGATTCTAAGCTATGTAATTCATAAAATTCTAGATTTAAAAAAAAAAAAAAAGATTACAGTCTCTTTGAACTGCAAACTAAAAGGTTAAATCTAAAACTAAAATCAATTAATTTCAGATCGTCATATTTTCAATTTTTACCTCGGTCTACTTACTATTATATGTTGTACATAGCATGCATGAGAGATTTTGAACGTTAACACGTAAATATATTATAAACATTACTTGGGTGACATGATTTTAATCCACTTTATGCGATTATGAATGTAACGTTTCTGTAGAGCTATTAAATTTCACAGCAGTTGATTAAGCTTTGGAGCCGATCGAAGTGGCGTACAGATTTCACGCTGTTGTAATAGAGATTTTGTCCCCGGAAGGCGTACATCATTCGTCCTTCGCTGTGGACATTATCCGTAATTTGTCAGAGCTTTACATTGGGGAAATGGACCGAAGCAAATGCGTTTAAATGATGCAGAGAAATTTACAAACAACCAGGTTCCTACAGGACTTCCTTAAATAATTTATTCCAAAGGACACTGACAAAATTTACACATGAAAAAGGAAAAAAAGTTTAAAATAACTAAAAACAACAAAATTAAATAAAAAAAAAAACAACAACAATATATCAATCACTGAGAGGAATATGATATTCATTTAAGTGAATGATTATATGAGAATGCCTTATCCTTTACACATACTTATGAACATACAAAAACAATTACCGATTCGAACTGTTTCTTACCTTTGTTCACCTGAATAAAACCTGGGAACCATTTCCTCCTTTGTGAAGCTCAAAATCTCGAATATCAAATCTCGAGAGAATTCATTATCACGTAAACAAGGGCATGACGTGAAGACCGAAGGGAAATGTCAATTAATGACTCTTTCTTCAGCATCCAGGTAAATCGCCACCTTATGTGTTGGTCCTCTTACTCTCCGTGATATAAAATCTAAAGAATACTGTCGACATGAAGTCGGCTTGGTCGGCTAAAAGCAACCCCAGTGAAGAGCGCCTACAGAATCTGTCGTTAGTGAGTGGGCATTGAATCAATGACAGTTCTTTGTGCGGATCGGTAGCGACGACTTCGCTACATTGGCACCTCTTCGATGTATATTGCAACGCGCTGACGTCCTTTACCCCCAGTAAACAAACATGCACCTGTAAAAAATATTCCATCATTCTGAAGAAAAGAAGCAATATTTTTAATAACATAATTATACAAATAAAAATACTACCATGTACATCAAAATTGCAATAAATATGGACAGAGTTCCCTTGCCGAGTCCATCTGTGTTTTTAATTTTTGGTCAACTTATTTCCATTAGCGCTTGATGCTATATTAAATGTATATAGATGTATTTACATGTCCACTCACGTGTGATGACGATCAGGATTTACGAGCGTTCACACATCTGTTAAATCCAATTCATTCACAGTATCATTCGTTTGACAGACCTTTCTTGGTTTCTAGGCTTAGCTGGTCGATGGTTCGATCGCAGAACACAAGGTTTAATGTCCGTGTCACATTATTACCAGCTCTTACTTGTTGCAGCTGAAGGAAATTATTATACTCCAGTGGATTATGGCATCGCAACAATCAGGGGTCGCTACACACCTTATTTTTCAAACAACTGCTATGCCGTCTGTGGTCATTTTATCTGATTTATTTTTTTCTTCTGTTTCCAATCACTTACCCCCAAAAATCACATCTAATAAAAAAATATTATTATACTCGTATATCAAAAAACAGAGAACATTACTGCGATTAGTGCTCTTTTTCTTCAAATAAGATTAATTTCCTTATTTTTTCAATTGGATTTTGATTTTTGACATGTGTTCTTAAATTTAATAAAAGTTGAAAAATAAGAAAGAAGAAAGGTCAGTCATGAATAGGAATACAAATGCTCAAAAGAAATAGGCAAAATGCAGTCAAATATATGTACATCTACATCTACAATATAATCATTTTTTGCATCAAATGAACTTCATCGAGCGTATAATGGCGTGGATGTTGTACAAAATTTGACGAGATGTCTGTCACTGTTAATTACATCATCCTATACATACAGATATTGATTACCTTTTCAAGGTGTAAATGAAAAAGATGGATTTCTTGGGCAGTGTAAAGGCTACCAATCAGAACCAATGTTATCAGATTATACTATGACAACGGGGGATTGCAATGCTCTATTCAGTGTTTAAGAAGGGGTTCTGCTGATCTAGAATGTAACACCATCCCATCCCATCCCCACCCCTCCACCCCACCCCTCAACAAAAGTATCCAAAAATAAAATTTAAAAAACTTTGTAATTATACGGTACGATAGAAAGTTTATGAAAAAATTTAATATTATCTTTCTTTAGCAGATTCATATCATATTCATACATGTCAGGGTACATATCTTCAAGGGAAAAAAACCTCATACGTTCGATCAGAAGTGGAAAGGTTTCTTACTATATCATCGTACATTTTGTACGTGATAGTCTTAGACTGTAGCAAGAATGAAAATTCGGTTTTAGATACTACGTAATATATAAATATAAGTAAAACTATAAGTAACGATCTCACTAGGTCTAAATTTGACTTGGATGATTATAAGTAATGATCTTACCAGTTCTACATACTATATATGGATAATTTTTAGTAATAAAAACTAATATAGAAAAATTCTATATAAAACTACATATATGGATGAAAATTAGTAAAGATCTCATCACTTTTTACTACAAATGGATAACTATTAGTAAGGATTTCTCCCATTTAAAATACATGTAAGACAATAAGTAAAGATTTCTCCAGTTCTGGATTTAAATTGATTGTTGGAAACATTTAAAATATTTAAAAATTATACAGTGTGTATAGGATTTTGGAGAATTTCACCTTTTGAAAGCGAACTATATGAGTATAAGTTGGATTAACTCAAGAATTAAATCCAAGTTCCTCTAAAAAGCAATTGTTAATAAAGAACCTTACAAAAATAATTGCTTTGTCAGCTAGGACCAATATGTACATATTGATCATGTATCTTATCTAATTCTTTATTATATTTCCCGCTTCACAAGAGGGTATGTATAGTGATAGGTGTGTTTCTCGCTTTGGGGTATCCATCTCTTATCCCCAACATCTCTTCTACCATTCAGTAAAATTTAATGATATTTCACAGAATCTTTGTTACATAGTACCATTGTGCAACGTCCTATTTACTTTTTGATGGGACATATATTTCAGGTTTGCCATAGCAAAACATAGATATTGTCATTTTTTCTATAATCCGAAACTCCTCCTACACAAGTGAATAAAATTCCATGATACTTTCACAAGACCTTCATTACATTCCTTACAAAAAATACTATAGTTATCTATAGTAAATCAAAGTGTCAAATTATCACTTTAGTAATCAAAGTTTTCAAAGTTATCACTATGGTAAATCAAAGTGTCAAAGTGATCACTATGGTAATCAAAGTTAAAGATTTATCACAGTTGTAATAATGTTCTGTGATAGAAGTCTCAATTAATTTAACATTAATTGCACAACTTAGGTGTAATACCCAGTTTTACAGATTTTCTCATTTTTCCAAAGTTACTCGTCGATGTCTTGTATTTCAAATAATTCCAGGCACGTTACATGAAGCACAATTTATTTTAAATTTTATTTTCAGTGATTGGTTTTGAAACCTCATGTTTTTCAATGACCGCTACTGGAAAAATATTTCTAAGATGAATATTGCTTTTCTTCCATTTTACTTCGTTTTTTTTTTATTTAGTAAATCACCATTAAGTACATCAAACAAGATGTATAGAGTTATCATTATGTATTAGATCAATAACCATAGTAAATCAAAGTTTTCAATAGTAAATCAAAGTTTTCATAACGATCACTTAAGTATTTCAAACTTTTCATAGTTATCACTATAGTGTCATACTTATCACTATAGTAAATCAAAGTTTTCAAAGTTATCACTATAGTGTCATACTTATCACTACAGTAAATCAAAGTTTTCATAGTTATCACTATAGTGTCATACTTATCACTATAGTAAATCAAAGTTTTCATAGTTATCACTATAGTGTCATACTTATCACTATAGTAAATCAAAGTTTTCATAGTTATCACTATAGTAAATCAAAGTGTCAAAATTATCACTATAGTTAACTATAGTAAACTATAGTATTTTTTGTGAGGAATAATGCCATTTTTCGCCTCTATTTTATTTTTTTATTGGACACATATATTTGGGTTTCCCATAGCAAAACATTGACACTGCCATTCTAGTCATAAAATCGGGGGTACCCATCTCTTTTCTACAACTCCTCCTTTACCACTGAATAAAATTTAATGAACCTTTCACGGAATATTTATTACACAGTCCCATTTTGCACCTTTTACATTGCTTTTTTGATTGAACACATATTTCTGGTGTCCATTAGCAAAACATGGACACTGCTATTCTTTCTTTTATATCAAGGGAACCCATTTCTAATCCTCAACTACTCTTACACCACTGAATAAAATTTAATAATACTTTCACAGAATCTTTATTATATAGTATTATATAGCCATTTCACCTCCTATTTCATGTTTTGATTGGACAGATATTTGGGCTTTTCCATAGCAAAAGATGGACTTTGCCATCATACGCAAATGGGAGCGGAGAATACCATTTTTTCCGAGCTAAAATACTTCTATTTTACTTCTGAATTACTAAAGGATAAATTGTTTTCACTATGTCTTAAGCACGAGACTTCAACATCTGCCTCATACTAATAACCCATTCTGACAAAGTATCATGGTCTCCTTTTTCTCATTTCACCCATTGCCTGGATAATCTGAATCCATATTATTTATGAAATTTTGTCGCCAGTTGAACGACCGGGTTCCCCAAAATTTGGCCCTTTTAAAGTAAAAAAGGTGAAGATGATGAACAAAAATCTACGAACAATAAAAGTCTGTGAACGGGGCATAAAGAAGAACCCATGGAAATTCCAGAAGTGGGACCAGGTGCCTAGGAGGAGTAAGCATCCTTTGTCGACCGGTTACGTGGGTCCTATGTATTGATCAGGTAGATGAAAGAATCCATAATCAAATTTAGTATAAAAGAAAGGCCTTACAATTGTATGAAATATGTCAGTCAAAATACGACCCAATGATAGTTTATATTTGCTAACAAGGTCATTATTTACTAAGTGCTGACTATACAAGAGGTTGTTGAAATCCCTAAGCATCAACTTATCTGTCATTTGTCTGCCTTGATTTAAACATTGATCGTACTCAGAACCATGCTCTTGAGTATCGAATAAGTTGGCAGACTTAATGAGACCAAATGAAGGTGACAGCGGAATATTACTACAAAAATAAGGAAATTTGACGATGGAAAAGCTGAATTCGTCTTGTTTGTCATACAATTGTTAGGTTGTCCTTATCGTCTATAGTCAGTAAAACATCCAAATATGAAACAGATGTGGATGAATCTGTGTTATATTTAATTTCGAGTTCACTGGGATATATCGAGTCGACATATAAAGAAAAGTAACTATTTATTACTGGGATATATCAAGTAGACATATGAATGGAAGGAATATTGTGAACTAATATACCAACGTCCAGATATCTGATTGTGGAGTCAAAAGGCCACAGCAAGTGTTTTCTTCTTCTCATGTAGAAGTTTTTGAATAACTTCTTTTTCACAGAAATATAAAAAACAGGTCGGCTAATAAAGGAACACAATTTTGCCCCTTGAAATTCCAACAGTTTGTTGGAAGACCTGGTCTCCGAAAACTACATAGACGTTGTCATTGAGGAACTGCAGCATCCTTTGATATCAACGTCAGAGGACTTTTGTGTAGAATCAGAGTGATTTTAAACAGTAATTTTGTTGATTACCAATAACAAGATATGAAAATTTCCGAGTTCTGTTTTATTAAAGAATCAGTTGTCTATGATGTCAAAAATCCTGCTCTTTTGTTTATTGCGAGGAGTGGTTGCATAGAGCGTAGAAAAACAAAATGTTTTGATGCTATTGATATTTGAAAAATTTTAAGATTTTGAATTTTCCAAAAGTTCTTTAGAGTTTATTTTAGAATCTACATTTGATTTACATCACTTCCTGATTATATTGCGCAATAAATTCTT